CCGCCCTCTCATATGAACACATCGAAAACTTTACAAAGGATTTAGAGGTAAGGCGAGATCTCAGAAACCGGGCCAGCCCGGTGAACCGAGCTCATGTGAAGAGGCCCCGAATCTTTAATTTACCATTGTACAGTAATAGGTGCCGTTACACACACCAATGAATTCAACGTGGGTTCTGTTTACCGTGGTATAAACATATGGTTACACGTAAATCAATTACCAAGGTAAGTTAGCCGCTTTTATGGCTTCATTCGTGCTATTGCTACTGCTATTGCGTCGACCATGGCAGTATTTCATGTTCTGTTGAAAATTTTATTAACTGGGCTGCCTGTGGCGCAGCCCGGTTTATAAAATGAGTATCATTTTTTTCTCAACGGTGGGGGGTAAGGGAAATGCTGGGAAGTCGCAGTGAGGGTGCACGGTCCTGCTCTCCTAATCTTTACACTATTTCAGAGCAATATCTATAAGGTTAATGTAAGAGAGTACCCCCGGGATTTATGTCGTCAAAATGAACACCATCACAACTCTATGATGGCTTGACATGAAGTTCTTACCCATGTTAAGCGAAGGCAGCAATTAAATGAAGACGTGTTTGAAGCTGGCGTACTGCCCATTTTCATCGTCTCCTTCAAAAGATTCTACGATGAATACCTTTTGGGGCTTTTCTTCACTATTTATTGAAGTTTAAACGTTTTGTTGATTTTTTCCCTTCCAAACTGTGATTGCAAATCTCTGTGTTTGTGGCTAGAGTGTGTGTGTGTACGTCCATTGAATAAAAACGTCTCTCAAGCTACCATTAGCACTTTTTGTCGGTGCCATTTTCAAAAAATGGCAGAATGGGACAAGGTCGCTTTTAAGTTTTCTCTTCTCTTTATGTTGAGGATTAAATCGTTTAAAATGTGACGCCGAGTCATGTCTTTTTTCATGTTATTGCGATTCTTGCTTTGCGTGTGGAAGGTCATTCCTTACAGGAAAGGAATGTCTTGGGGAATGTGCTCATTGTAGATCACCCCATCCAAAAAATACATAAATATTATACCCTTAAGCCTTACTGCTACTGCTACTACTACTACTACTACTACTACCACTACCACTACCACTACCACTACCACTACCACTACCACTACCACTACCACTAC